AATTCTACTATAGGTTCATTTGACAATAAACATATCCGAAATGTGATACACAATCCTCCTCATCAACACTAATCAAGAGGGCTGCATAGACATCTCCAGGGCCTCAGAAGAGGGGTGAGGGCTCACCAATTGCCTAGATGAGGTAGATCAAAGACTGGGGTTCTGGGGATTTGAAGGTTCATCTTGATGGAAAATCATTGGGATAAGATAAAATCAGAGAAACACTGACGAGAAAGGAAACACAAGACAAAAATGGAAGATGCTAGTTACTTATAACAAGGAGAAACAGCTAGCCATGAGAGAAGCTAGAAGGAACACCTAGTACAGTTCAAAAGTGCAAATTGCAATCGTAGCATTGTTTGAGGTTCCATGGTGTTATGGTTAGCACTTTGGATTTTGAATCCAGTGACCTGGGTTCGACTCCCGGTAGGACCTTCTTGTAATTATTATAATTACACGTGGCTACATTTTTTATAAACACTAGTTTCATTTTGCTCTGTTTTTTAGTTTCATTATAATAACATTGAAATATCATTTTAATTACACTCTATTCTCTGCTATCCAATTTCATTTTATACACACAATAACATTCATTATAGCAAGAATAAAGTATCACTTTAATTATATTACAAGTTCATGTGACAATATGCATATCAATATGATTTTTCTATTCAGATTCATTTTATACATACAATAGGGTTTATTATAGCAATGTTAAAATGTCATTTTAATTGTACTATAGTTTTTTTTTTTAACAATATACATATTTGAATGAGTTCTGCTATAATTGTTTTTTTCAGTACTACTGACTTTGTTATAGTGTAGTATATGTCCATACATACCTTCTCAACCTACTTAAGCACAAAGACAATATACATCTTTGAATGAGCTCTATTATTCAGTTTCATTTTTACACACAATAGGTTCTTTATAACAACACTAAAGTATTATTTTAATTCTACTATAGGTTCATTTGACAATAAACATATCCGTAACGTGATACACCATCCTCCTCATCAACACTAATCAAGAGGGCTGCATAGACATCTTTAGCGCCTCAGAAGAGGGGTGAGGGCTCACCAGTTGCCAAGATGAGCTAGATCAAAGACTGGAATTCTGGGGATTTGAAGGTTCACCTTGATGGAAATCCAGTGAGATAAGATAAAATCAGAGAAACGCAGACGAGAAAGGAAACACAAGACAAAAATGGAAGAGGGCTAGTTACTTAGAACAAGGAGAAACGGCTAGCCATGAGAGAAACTAGAAGGAACACCTAGTACAGTTCAAAATTGCAAAATGCAATCTAATATTATTTGAGGTTCCATGGTGTAGTGGTTAGCACTCTGGACTTTGAATCTAGTGACCTGGGTTCGACTCCCGATGGGACTTACTTGTAATTACACATGGCTTCATTTTTTATACACTAGTTTCATTATGCTCTGTTTTTAAGTTTCATTATAGTAACATTGAAATATCATTTTAATTATACTCAATTATTTGCTATCCAATTTCATTTTATACACACAATAACATTCATTATAGCAACAATAAAGTATTACTTTAATTATATTGCAAGTTCATGTGACAATATGCATATCTATATGATTTTTTTCTATTCAGATTCATTTTATACATACAATAGGGTTATTATAGCAACGTTAAAATGTCAATTTAATTGTACTATAGGTTTTTTTTACAATATACATATTTGAATGAGTTCTGCTATAATTGTTTTTTGACTACTACTGACTTTGTTACAATGTAGTATCTCTCCATACAGACCATTTCAACCTACTTAAGCACAAAGACAATATACATCTTTGAATGAGCTCTAGTATTCAGTTTCATTTTTACACACAATAGGTTATTTATAACAACACTAAAGAAATTTTTTAATTCTACTATAGGTTCATTTGATGTTAAACATATCCGTAACGTCATACACAATCCTCCTCATCAACACTAATCAAGAGGGCTGCATAGACATCACCAGGGCCTTAGAAGAGGGGTGAGGGCTCACCAATTGCCTAGATGAGGTAGATCAAAGACTGGGGTTCTTGGGATTTGAAGGTTCACCATGATGGAAATCCATTGAGATAAGATAAAATCAGAGAAACACTGACGAGAAACGAAACACAAGCTTAAATTGGAAAGCTAGAAGGAACACCTAGTACAGTTCAAAACAACAAATTGCAATCATGGCATTGTTTGAGGTTCCATGGTGTAGTTGTTAGCACTCTGGATTTTGAATCCTTCTTGTAATTACACGTGGCTATATTTTTTATACAATAGTTTCATTATGCTATGTTTTTTAGTTTCATTATGCTCTGTTTTATAGTTTCATTATACTCTGTTTTTAGTTTCATTATAGTAACATTGAAATATCATTTAATTACACTCTATTCTCTGCTATCCAATTTCATTTTATACACACAATAACATTCATTATAGCAACAATAAAGTATCACTTTATTTATATTACAAATTCATGTGACAATATGCATATCTATATGATTTTTTCTATTCAGATTCATTTTATACATACAATAGGGTTTATTATAGAAACGTTAAAATGTCATTTTAATTGTACTATAGGTTTTTTTGACAATATACATATTTGAATGAGTTCTGCTACAATTGTTTTTTGAGTTCTACTGACTTTGTTATAGTGTAGTATATGTCCATACATACCTTCTCAACCTACTTAAGCACAAAGACAATATACATCTTTGAATGAGCTCTAGTATTCAGTTTCATTTTTACACACAATAGGTTATTTATAACAACACTTAAGTAATTTTTTAATTCTACTATAGGTTCATTTGACAATAAACATATCCGTAACATGATACACCATCCTCCTCATCAACACTAATCAAGAGGGCTGCATAGACATCTCCAGGGCCTCAAAAGAGAGGTGAGGGCTCACCAATTGCCTAGATGAGGTAGATAAAAGACTAGGGTACTGGGGATTTGAAGGTTCACCTTGATGGGAATCAATTGAGATAAGATAGAATCAGAGAAACACTGACGAGAAAGGAAACACAAGACAAAAATGGAAGAGGGCTAGTTACTTAGAACAAGGAGAAACGGCTAGCCATGAGAGAAACTAGAAGGAACACCGAGTACAGTTCAAAAAAGCAAATTGCAATCATGGCATTGTTCGAGGTTCCATGGTGTAGTGGTTAGCACTTTGGACTTTGAATCCAGTGACCTGGGTTCGACTCTCGGTGGGACTTTCTTGTAATTACACGTGGGTATATTTTTTATACACTAGTTTCATTATGCTTTGTTTTTTTAGTTTCATTATAGTAACATTGAATATCATTTAAATTACACTCTATTCTCTGCTATCCAATTTCATTTATACACACAATAACATTCATTATAGCAACAATAAAGTATCGCTTTAATTATATTACAAGCTCATGTGACAATATGCATATCTATATGATTTTTTCTATTCAGATTCATTTTATACATACAATAGGGTTTATTATAGCAACGTTAAAATTTCATTTTGATTGTACTATAGGTTTTTTTGACAATATACATATTTGAATGAGTTCTGGTATAATTGTTTTTTGAGTACTACTGACTTTGTTATAGTGCAGTATTTGTCCATACATACCTTCTCATCCTACTTAAGCACAAAGACAATATACATCTTTGAATGAGCTCTAGTATTCAGTTTCAGTTTTACACAAAATAGGTTATTTATAACAACACTAAAGTAATTTTTTAATTCTACTATAGGTTCATTTGACAATAAACATATCCGTAACATGATACACCATCCTCCTCATCAACACTAATCAAGAGGGCTGCATAGACATCTCCAGGGCCTCAAAAGAGAGGTGAGGGCTCACCAGTTGCCTAGATGAGGTAGATCAAAGACTAGGGTATTGGGGATTTGAAGGTTCACCTTGATGGGAATCAATTGAGATAAGATAGAATCAGAGAAACACTGACGAGAAAGGAAACACAAGACAAAAATGGAACATGGTAGTTACTTAGAACAAGGAGAAACGACTAGCCATGAGAGAAGCTAGAAGGAACACCTAGTACAATTCAAAATAGCAAATTGCAATCGTGGCATTGTTTGAGGTTCCATGGTGTAGTGGTTAGCACTCTGGACTTTGAATCCAGTGACCTGGGTTTGACTCCCGGTGGGACCTTGCTTTATTTTTTTAAGTTTCATTATAGTAACATTGAAATATCATTTTAATTACACTCTATTCTCTGCTATCCAATTTCATTTTATACACACAATAACATTCATTATAGCAACAATAAAGTATCACTTTAATTATATTACAAGCTCATGTGACAATATGCATATCTATATGATTTTTTCTATTCAGATTCATTTTATACATACAATAGGGTTTATTATAGCAACGTTAAAATGTCATTTTAATTGTACTATAGGTTTTTTTGACAATATACATATTTGAATGAGTTCTGGTATAATTATTTTGTGAGTACTACTGACTTTGTTATAGTGTAGTATATGTCCATACATACCTTCTAAACCTACTTAAGCACAAAGACGATATACATTGAATGAGCTCTAGTATTCAGTTTCATTTTTACACACAATAGGTTATTTTTAACAACACTAAAGTAATTTTTTAATTCTACTATAGGTTAATTTGACAATAAACATATCTGTAACGTGATACACCATCCTCCTCATTAACACTTATCAAGAGGGCTACATAGACATCTCCAGGGCCTCAAAAGAGAGGTGAGGGCTCACCAGTTGCCTAGATGAGCTAGTTCAAAGACTGGGGTTCTCGGGATTTGAAGGTTCACCTTGATGGGAATCCATTGAGACAAGATAAAATCTGAGAAACACTGAGGAGAAAGGAAACACAAGACAAAAACGGAAGAGGGCTAGTTACTTAGAACAAGAAAAAACGACTAGCAATGAGAGAAGCTACAAGGATCCCCATGTACAGTTCAAAATTGCAAATTGCAATTATAGCATTGTTTGAGGTTCCATGGTGTAGTGGTTAGCACTTTGGACTTTGAATCCAGTAACCTGCGTTCAACTCTTAGTGGGACCTTCTTGTACTTACACGTGATTGCATTTTCTATACACTAGTTTCATTATGTTCTGTTTTTTAGTTTCATTATAGTAACATTGAAATATCATTTTAATTACACTCTATTCTCTGCTATCCAATTTCATTTTATACACACAATAACATTCATTATAGCAACAATAAAGTATCACTTTAATTATATTACAAGTTCATGTAACAATATGAATATCTATATGATTTTTTCTATTCAATTTCATTTTATACATACAATATGGTTTACTATAGCAACGTTAAAATGTCATTTTAATTGTACTATAGGTTTTTTTTACAATATACATATTTATATGAGTTCTGCTATAATTGTTTTTTGATTACTATTGACTTTGTTACAATGTAGTATCTATCCATACATACCTTCTCAACCTACTAAAGCACAAAGACTATATATATGTTTGAATGAGCTCTACAATTCAGTTTCATTTTTACACACAATAGGTTCTTTATAACAACACAAACGTATCATTTTAATTCTACTATAGGTTTATTTGACAATAAACATATCCGTAACGTGATATACCATCCTCCTCATCAACACTAATCAAGAGGGCTGCATAGACATCTCCAGGGTATACGAAGAGGGGTGAGGGTTCACCAGTTGCCTAGATGAGCTAGATCGAAGACTAGGATTCTCGGGATTTGAAGGTTCACCTTGATGGGAATCCATTGAGACAAGATAAAATCATAGAAACACTGACGAGAAAGGAAACACAAGACAAAAATGGAAGAGGGATAGTTACTTAGAACAAGGAGAAACGGCTAGCCATGAGAGAAGCTAGAAGGAACACCTAGTACAGTTCAAAATTGCAAATTGCAATCGTGGCATTGTTTGAGGTTCCATGGTGTAGTGGTTAGCACTCTGCACTTTGAGAACAGTGACCTGGGTTTGACTCTTGGTGGGACCTTATTGTAGTTACACGTGATAACATTTTCTATACACTAGTTTCATTATGTTCTGCTTTTTAGTTTCATTATAGTAACATTGAAATATCATTTTAAGTACACTCTATTCTCTGCTACCCAATTTCATTTTATACACACAATAACATTCATTATAGCAACAATAAAGTATCACTTTAATTATATTACAAGTTCATGTGACAATATGCATATCTATATGATTTTTTCTATTTAGATTCATTTTATACATATATTAGAGTTTATTATAGCAACGCTAAAATGTCATTTTAATTGTACTATATGTTTTTTTCACAATATACATATTTGAATGAGTTCTGGATTTTTTTTTTTTTTTTACTACTATTGACTTTGTTACAATGTAGTATCTGTCCATACATACCTTCTCAACCTACATAAGCACAAAGACAATATACATCTTTGAATGAGCTCTAGTATCCAGTTTAATTTTTACACACAATAGGTTCTTTATAACAACACTAAAGTATCATTTTAATTCTACTATAGGTTCATTTGACAATAAACATATCCGTAACGTGATACACCATCCTCCTCATCAACAATAATCAAGAGGGCTGCATAGACATCTCCAAGGCCTCAGAAGAGGGGTTAGGGCTCACCAGTTGCCTAGATAAGGTAGATCAAAGACTGGGGTTCTGGGGATTTGAAGGTTCACCTTGATGGGAATCCATTGAGATAAGATAAAATCAGAGAAACACTGACGAGAAAGGAAACACAAGACATAAATGGAAGAGGGCTAGTTACTTAGAACAAGGAGAAACGGCTAGCCATGAGAGAAGCTAGAAGGAACAGCTAGTACAGTTCAAAAGTGCAAATTGCAATCATGGCATTGTTTGAGGTTCCATGGTGTAGTGGTTAGCACTCTGGACTTTGAATCTAGTGACTTGGGTTCAACTCTTGGTGGGACCTTTTTGTAATTACACGTGGCTACATTTTTTATACACTTGTTTCATTATTATGTTCTGTTTTTTAGTTTAATGATAGTAACATATCATTTTAATTACACACTATTCTCTGCTATCCAATTTCATTTTATACACATAATAACATTCATTATAGCAACAATAAAGTATCACTTTAATTATATTACAAGTTCATGTGAGAATATGCATATCTATATGATTTTTTCTATTCAGATTCATTTTATACATACAATATGGTTTATTATAGCAACGTTAAAATGTCATTTTAATTGTACTATAAGTTTTTTTGACAATATACATATTTAAATGAGTTTTGCTATAATTGTTTTTTGAGTACTACTGACTTTGTTAAAATGTAGTATCTGTCCATACATACCTTCTAAACCTACTTAAGCACAAAGACAATATACATGTTTGAATGAGCTCTGCAATTCAGTTTCATTTTTACACACAATAGGTTCTTTATAACAACACTAAAGTATCATTTTAATTCTATAATAGGTTTATTTGACAATAAACATATCCGTAACGTGGTACACCATTTTCCTCATCAACACTAACCAAGAGGGCTGCATAGACATCCTCCAAGGCCTCAGAAGAGTGGTGAGGGCTAACCAGTTACCTAGATGAGCTAGATTAAAGACTGGGGTTCTGGGATTTGAAGGTTCACCTTGATGGGAATCCATTGATCAAGACAAGATAAAATCAGAGAAACATTGACGAGAAATAAAACACGAGACAAAAACGGAAGAGGGCTAGTTACTTAGAACAAGAAGAAATGGCTAACCATGAGAGAAAATAGAAGGATCCCCTTGTACGGTTCAAAATTGCAAATTGCAATCATAGCATTGTTTGAGGTTTCATGGTGTAATGGTTAGCATTCTAGACTTTGAATCTAATGACCTGAGTTTGATTCTCGATCGGACTTTCTTGTAATTATACGTGGCTAAATTTTTTATACACTAGTTTCATTATGTTATGTTTTTTAGTTTCATTATAGTAACATTGAAATATCATTTTAATTAAACTATATTCTCTGCTATCCAATTTCATTTTATACACACAATAACATTCATTATAGCAACAATAAAGTATCACTTTAATTATATTACAAGTTCATGTGACAATAAGCATATCTATATGATTTTTTCTATTCAGACTCATTTTGTACATACAATAGGGTTTATTAGCAACGTTAAAATGTCATTTTAATTGTACTATAGGTTTTTTTGACAATATACATATTTGAATGAGTTCTGCTATAATTGTTTTTTGAGTACTACTGACTTTGTTACAGTGTAGTATATATGTCCATACATACCTTCTCAACCTACTTAAGCACAAAGACAATATACATCTTTGAATGAGCTCTAGTATTCAGTTTCATTTTTACACACAATAGGTTCTTTATAACAACACTAAAGTATTATTTTAATTCTACTATAGGTTCATTTGACAATAAACATATCCGTAACGTGATACACCATCCTCCTCATCAACACTAATCAAGAGGGCTGCATAGACATCTTTAGCGCCTCAGAAGAGGGGTGAGGGCTCACCAGTTGCCTAGATGAGCTAGATCAAATACTGGGGTTCTCGGGATTTGAAGGTTCACCTTGATGGGAGTCCATTGAGACAAGATAAAATCAGAGAAACACTGACGAGACACAAGACAAAAATGGAAGAGGGCTAGTTACTTAGAACAAGGAGAAACGGCTAGCCATGAGAGAAGCTAGAAGGAACACCTAGTACAGTTCAAAATTGCAAATTGCAATCATGGCATTGTTTGAGGTTCAATGGTGTAGTGGTTAGCACTCTGGACTTTGATTCTTGTGACCTCGGTTCGATTCTTGATGTGACATTCTTGTAATTTCACATGACTATTAACAATCGTTGTACCCTGCACTGTGCGTCCTGCGCCTCCCAAAACGAGTATGTATATTTGTTTATACAATTATGTACATTTTTTATATAATTATGTATATTTTTTTATTCAATTATGTACATCCGAATCAGGAAATTTTTGTGTATTATGGTAAAAGTTTATGTTTATTATGTATTATGTTAGATGATGTGTATTATCTTTTAAAAAAGAGTGTGTATTTTGTTATATAATTATGTAATTCATGTATACAATTATGCGTATTCTAGTATAACATTATGTACATTTTTGAACATGAAATTTTTTTAAGGAAAATTAACTGTCAAACAATGGGTGCGAAATTTCAAAAAATAAAATAAAATAAAATTTGAAACGACGTCGTTTTGCATCTGGGCGCACAATGCAACGCACGCCGTGGTGCAGGATATAAATTGCTGACTATGGATAGATGATCATTTTTAATATATTAGAATAAAAAAAATCAAATTCGATACCGTTGTATGAGTTCTGTTTTTTAGTTTCATTATCTATACACCTAGTTTCATTATAGTAACATTGAATTGTCATTTTAATTACACTCTATTTTCTGGTATCCAATTTCATTTTATACACATAAAAGGTTCATTATAGCAAAAAATTCAAGTATCATTTTAATTCTATTACAAGTTCTAATACGGTACTCAAGCCAAGACACTAACTCCACCACAAAAGCTAACTCATGAGTGGAGGTTTGGTCCAATTTAAGTACCACTCTACAATCTCTTGTGGAACGGATGTGGTATCGTATCATCGCGGCAAATTATGCCCTGGACCCGTGTCCACATTGAATTGTGGACACGGGCCCAAAACGACGTCGTTTTTTAAAAAAAAACGCGTCATTTAGTTATATAAAAAAAAAATTCGCGCGCGTTTTGGCGTTAACGGCGTTATTTTTTTTTTTTGGATTATGAATGTACAGTTATGCCGTTATGAATGTACAGTTATGCCGTTATGAATATACAGTTATACAATTATGAAATTATGAACACAGAGCTCTAACATTATGAACTTACAATTATGAACATATATAGTGATAAAATTATGACCATGGAGCTTTAAAATTGTGAATATAGAGCTTCGAAGCTTATGAATGTACAGTTATGGAGTTATGAATGTACAGTTATAGAGTTATGAATTTACAGTTATGGAGTTATGAATCTACAGTTATGAGATTATGAATCTACAGTATGGAATTATGAATGTACAGTTATTGATCAAATTATGAACAAAGAGCTCTAACATTATGAACTTACAATTATGAACATATAGTGATAAAATTATGAACATAGAGCTCTAAAATTGTGAACATAGAGCTTCGAAAATTATGAATGTACAATTATGGAGTTATGAATGTACAGTTATGGAGTTATGAATGTACAGTTATAGAGTTATGAACGTACAGTTATGGAGTTATGAATGTATAGTTATTAACATATAGTAATAAAATTATGAACATATACTCTTACAATGAAGCGGTCTGAAATTAAAAAAAAAAAAAAAAAAAAAAAAAAAAAGGAAATAACAGTGCCTGTTACCCGTGTCCAGCAAGCATGCTGGACACGGGTCCAACGCATAACGATTGTATCATCGCCCACCCCTTGAGAAGCCAACATTCGCGGCGGCTTACTCTACTTGCTGGACACGGGTCCAACGCATAACGATTGTATCATCGCCCACCCCTTGAGAAGCCAACATTCGCGGCGGCTTACTCTAGACGGCTCACACTTCGGACTCTTCTCGACACCAGGTAGCCCTTTTCTAGGTCGCCCCCTCCGCTAGGCCTAGGGGTGTTCAATCGGTTAACCGAACCGAATTAATCGAAATATTTTTTTCTTTAACCGTTAACCGAAGTTTACTCTACTGAATTCACCGAACCGAAATTTTTTTCCGTTAATCGGTCGGTTAACCGATTAACCGAACTTTTTAAAGCTAAAATTGAAAATTCTAAAAATAACATGTAAAATAATAAATCCAATTAAAATAAAATACATATAATAATAAATTCATAATAAAATATACAAAAACATGAATTATAAACTCCAAACATCCATAACTTCAAATTTGTATTTATATTTATATTATTATTTTTATATATATTAAAAACTTCGGTTAACCGCTCGGTTAATTTGGTTAACCGATCTTTCGAACCAAATTAACCGTTAACCGAAATTTTAAAATTCTTTTAAACATTAACCGAACCGAAAAAGTTCAGTTCAAAAACAATTAACCGAACTTTGTCAATTCGGTCGATTAACCAAAAATTATCCGAAGTTTGCACACCCCTAGCTAGGCCGGCACCGGATGAGTGGAACGGCTTCACTCTTGATAGCTTTCTCTTTGGACTCTTCTTGGTCCTTTGAACCTTATCAAGCACCGGATAGCCCTTTTCCACCACACTCCGGCCTCTCAATGAAAGCACCAAATGATACGGTACTCAAGCTAAGATCCTAACTACACCACAAAAGCTAGCTCATGAGTGGAGGTTTGGCCCCAACTTAAGTACCACTCGACAATCTTTTGTGGAACCGATGTGGGATCGTATCAAGTTCATGTTACAATATGCATATCTATATAAATTTTTCTATTCAGAGTCATTTTATACATACAATAGAGTTTATTATAGCAACGTTAAAATATCATTTTAATTCTACTATAAATTTTTTTGACAATATAAATATTTCAATGAGCTCTTTTTTTTTTTTTTAAGTACTATTGACTTTGTTACAATGTAGTATATTTTCATATTTTTTCAAAGTTAAATCTAAATACTAAACTTCTAAACAGTAAAAAGCGAACCCCTAAATCAAACCCATAAATCTTAAAAGAAGTCCCCAAGTGCAATGAACTTTTACATTGGTGCAATTTATACTATTGATGAATGCATTTTATATTGTCTCTAGGGTGTATTCTAAAAGTAAACTATAACTACTAAACTCTAAAGTAAATTTCCAATTCAATTTAAAAAAACAAGACCTTAAACCAACAACTATATTAAGGCAAAATTAGACTTTTAAACGAAAATACAATAAGCTAATATTAATAAAAAATAGTTTTTTTTTTTTTTTTCATTTTTCAACTTACTGGCATCCAACCAAAAAAACTGTTTATTAAACACTCATTTTAATTGTTTGACCAATCAAACAACTAAAGTTGATCAAACAAGCTAAACTTTGGCTAATAAGCTGTCATTTTCCAAACACCCTATTGCAGCACCAAACCTAATACTTTCTATGGTACAAAAAGTTTAAAGGCCTCATCATGTTCTTACCCAATTAGCATATAAACAACTCACATAAACTTACGAATTAAATATGTGAAATTTCACAAGTATAATGGATATCCGCTTAATTACTATTGCAACAATAAATGTATACTTCAAACACAATGAACATTTATAGCTGCAAATTGAAGGTGATGAGCATTGCTGTGAAACTCATTATATTGCTAGCAAATACCTCATATTGACACACTTCAGGCTATAACATAAAAACCTCAGCACATTAGCAGGGAAACCTAGATTGGATGCAAAACCCAGATTACTTTTTAGATGTTCGGAAGCCTCCAAATCCCATCATTGCTGCAATATCGGTGTCTTCCTCAGGTTCCTCCTCTGCTGCCTTCTCTTTCTATACAAGAAACAAATGTACAAGCAGATATCATGAAAATCTGTTGAAAACCACATCCAACAGAGAAAACACAGATCAACTAGAAAAACCATGTCATGCTACTCCTACATGGCATCAGTATTCCCAAATCGCAAAAGTTGATGAAAATTTAAACCAAATGAGCATTGAAAGCTTGCTGACCTTTTTCTCTTTCTTCTTTTCTCGACGCTGGCGTTTCCTCTCTTCCTCTTCTTGCTGTTGTTTCAACATCCGCTCCTCGAAATCTACAAGGTAAAAGGAATTAATATAACTTTCATATTCGTTTTTCATTTTAACCCCTAGAAAGAGCTGATCTGGAACCAATATGAGAATTGAAAGCAGATACAAGTTAACAATTGCAATTAGAATTGTCTTGTTTGTTTCTTATACATTTTGTGATAAGCAGGCAGCATATATACAAAGCATTTATCTCCGAAATTATTATAAAAGCTTTTTGATTAACTATTATTGATTTATTGTTAAATCATCAAACTAACTAAAACTGAGTCTCAAGTCCATTTAAGCCCCACCTTGCACGGTGATGCTAGTAGTATCTTTCCGCTTCTTTAGCACTTCAAATCGCTCTTGGACCTGAAACATTGATGTATAGCCTGAGATAAGTAATTCAATTATATAATCATATAACATTTGAATATGTACTATCTACTGAATCCACAGTTGACTAGTTATACCAAATTTAGCATTCACTAACTGTTTACAATTGCTTGTTTGTAGCAAATGATTGATGAATTCAAATTGAATACTAAAACCATGACCTTACGAAATTAATGATATAAAATTACAATATGTACTACCTATTAAATCCACATTTGTTAATTATACCAAATTCAACATTCACTGGACAACTTGGCAAATGATTGATGACTTCCGAATGAATGATAATTAAGTATAATAATCATTGACCATATTAGACGCTTCTTTCATTTTAGACATTGTTCAAAACATAAGCTCCAATGATGTCAAGGAAGATTTATAGGTTATATTACATAGCTTGCTCACATAAGATTGCCTTAACAAGTGTTTTGAAGATGGAAAACCAAAATTTCCAAAGTCTGGCAATGTGAATAGTAACTTCTAACCCCAATCTAAAATTTCACCTAGAATTTTCAATGTTCCCACACATAAGATTGCCTCAAAAAGTATTTTGGCAGTTGGAAAACCAAAATATCCAAGGTTTGGCAATGTAAACGGTCACTCCTGATCCCAATGTAACCTTTTGCTTCAAAGGGCATTAAAGAGATGCAGAACTGGTACCCTCTTGTTCTGCTATGTGACCTCAAATTTACACTTTAACTTAATAGATATAATTTGCAAGCCAAGTGGTTCCCCCCAACACACCACCACCTTCTCCTCATTCTTTATGATTAATTATTTTCTTCCAATCCCCTTCTTGTCAACATTATTATTTGGTGTGCCAATAAAATAAAATAAAATAAAAAATCAGATTTACATGTGTTTTTTTTTTTTGCATTAATAGCTTAGTTATTGACTTATTGCCACAACCCTAACTCCACCACTTTCATTTGCCAACATTAGTCCACTTACTTGCTTTAAAGATGCCCGCTCCACTCGCATAGACATACCCAAAGCTCGTTGATCTGAAAATAGACAAGAAAATAAGACATCAACACCAACAAAAAGAAACCATTAATTATGTACATACACCACCACATTATCCTATTAGCAATACACAGGAATACATACGTTTTTTCCCATTGATATGGTCCAGGTAGTTTGCTGAATCCTTGACTACACATTCACAAACTGAGCAATAGTATCCAGCCTGCAATAGAAATTGCATTACAAAATGACAGAAGTAGACAATTTCAGAAAATGAGCATCACAACTGAATATAAATCATTCCCCACTTTCTTAAGAAATCAGAATGTTTGATCTGCATATCAGAGAAAGTCTCAATTTATTTTTACAGTAGAGAGAAAAGAAAGTTGTCTCAGATCGCACAAATGGCCACTACAATGTTCACATTTGTGTAGTTGGTGATATAGTGTCTAATTGATAGACAAGAAATCCAGTAAAATAACTAGCCCTTATTCCCTTAATACCTTTTCTATGAAACTCTAAACTATGACAGCCACCTGTTGAATACAAATTTATTTAAAAAAGGCAAGTCACAAGAGAAGACAATTAGAGACAATTGCTTCTTCCACTCCATTATAATGTTATTATAAAAAAATCATACTTATCATTGACAGTTTTTTTCCTCATCTTAATCATTTCTTCTTTTAAAGGGCTACACAGATCTTTTTGTTTCCATATTTAAAAATCAAGAACCTGTCTGGATTTCTCAAAATAATAAAGTGCCAATTATCAGAAATTAGAAATTTATACATGCAATACAAAAGAGAAAATGGCTGGAAGTTGGAACATACCTGTTGACTTAGGGGTGCTATTGGAGTCACAACCTGCCACGAAGAAGTAAATGTACATACATAAGAAGAATTTAGAAATACAAAAACAAAGACCATACAGATTTCAAAACATTACTAAAAAAATTAAATATAACAGAAACATGATCAAAGAACCAACAATCAAGAAAAGATTAATAAATCCTTGGTTAACTAGAAGAAATAAATACAGCCAAAGTTTGAAAATTATTGTGGCCAAAAGTAGTAGCAATACCAGAAGTAGCTTCACTCAAAGCTGGAAAATGCTGAAGCAAAAGTAGCTAACTACTAATATGGTGATATACTGATATATGGTATAACTCCATTCCTTATATTAATTTATGTTTTGCTTTAAAATGGGATCATTTGTTATGAGTTCTTCGTCAAGGGCAAGAAAACACAAAAGATAAGAAAGAAGAATAGCAGTTGAAAGAGGAAAAGAGAAAACATGGGTTTTCTTGAGACCCAAAACTCCCTTAGACACCTTTTTGAGATTGAATTTCCTTTTTATACGGCTAATGACAAGGATTCCTAAACTAAGAATGATTAATTATTTGGTAGTTTCTAAATAACTAAATTGTCTAAACTAATTTGAAGACTAAGAGTAATAAGATAAATAATTATTCAGTAGTTCCTAAATAACTAAACTAAGTAATAAGCTACCTAACTATTTAGTAGTTCCTTAATATCTAAACTATGTAATGTAATTTTAATAAAATACGACTTCTTTAATCATAACAACTTCCTAATTTAATCATGGCTGCAGCATGTCTCAGCATTCAATATCTTAATTAGTAAAATGTTACTCCACACATAAAATGAGAAATTTTTGGGATGTTATTGCAGTCAGACCAATTGACCCTGCTATGCAGAAGCTAGATCCACCAATGGTGAAAAGGGTCTAAAGAAATGGGAAAGCTAAGCCACCAGAACATGTGAGAACCAGGTTATTACAAGAACAGGAATGTCAACAAAACCCTGCATATATAAAACACCCATGGACCCAGTGACCTTAAATTTGTAAAAAAAAAAAAAAAAAAAAAAAAATCCAGCCAAATGATTCAATCATCCTCTGTCTAATACAGCTTTACAATAATACTGAATGGTGTCCTCACCTTGACATCTACAGATATTACAATAGCTTAAATCAAGTTGCACCCACATGTATACCTAACACCTCAGTGTTAAATACAACAGGCTGGAACCACTAGTTACTAAAGCCTAATGATCAAGTTCCACAGTACGGTCAAAATTTGATCCCTGAGTGAATATTATGCTATTTAACATATATTCAACCCTCTGCCTCCTTTTGTCTCTAAAATTAAGGATGCCCATAAGATTTACTATTCACAAAGCTTTAGGCCACAGCATCCTATAGATCCCTTTATAAAATCATACAAACTTACAAAGATAAACAGTAATATTTACATTACAATAAATGAACCAAGAGGTTATCCACATTTATATACAAGCATATATAACAATTTAAAAGGAAAGCATATTTTAAAAATAAAAGATAAAAGTAACTAACCTGAGTCTTTCCCAAGCGAGATTCGAGGTCTACTTCATAATCCCTTTGCTTCAAGGGCTTCCTCTGCACTGGAGGACCTCTTGCTGCCCAAGTACATCTTTTTAATAATGCAACACTTAGGACAACAAATAAACAATTTCCACATCTCATGTACATTCTAATAGCTAATATAAATGAAGGAAAAACAAAGAACATGATCAGAAGATGTCTCACCCTTGGACTTCCGTCCCTCAGCTTCCTACAACATGAAAAGTTCAAGCACTTAAGCACACAAACAAACACAAAGAAAAATGAAGAAACTGAAGCAAATTTAGAAGAAATTAAAAACCTTTTCTTCCCGTTCACGAGCACGCTGCAAGTATTCTTCTCGATCAAATTTTTTCCGAAAAGTGTTATCGATTCCAACAACCTGAAGGTTTCACATATGCACCAAATTAAATACAAATTGCAAATACAGAAATAGAGCGGAAAATATTTAAATTTTCTTTCTTCAAAAATCAACCTAGATTTGAGATGTGCGCATCCTTATTTAGTAGAGTATCCATAAAAGAAAACAAGTAGAAAACTAATATACATTCAGGAAACACAGAGTCACACTCGCGCATATACGCACACAGCCACATACAGACAAAGATGAAGATAGGAGAGAGCTAAGCTTACATTGTTGTTGGGCTCCGCCATAGTTTTGAAATATGGAACCTTTACTTGAGTTGATGGAGCTGGGAAAATCGATTGACGTGGCAGTATAAGAGATGAATTGAAGCGAATTAGGTTTCTATTGAGAAGGGATGAATTTGAATCCAGCAAGAGGAATAGAGGAGGGAGAGCGAAGAATTTCGGGTATTCGGGTCGTAAGAGTATATTAGTAGTTTTATTTTATATTTTGATTTGATTTTGATAGGTCAAAATCCGGCAATGACGCATCATATTCTCAATGGGATTTAGATATAGATCTCAAAATGGTACTCTGACTATGATCTTTTCTCAAATTGGTTCCTTGACTTTTAATTGTACTCAAGTGGTCCTCTGACTATTGAATTTTAAGTTAAAATGGTCATCTTTTAGTTTTGGTGTTGAGTGGGCGTTAAAATGATGGGTAAAATTGGTAATTCAGAATTTTCACTATAGTTAAAGAACTATTTTGGATGCAATTAAAAGTCAAAGGATCAATTTAGACTATCTAGTTAATATTTTAAAAGAAAATTCATTTTTACGAACTATCTAGTTAATATAATCTAAGAGTTTCAATTGTGTATTATCGTATTAATTTTTATTATCTTTCTTATCGGTTTGTATTTAACTGTTGTCGTTTTTTTTTTCTTTTTTTTTTCTTTTTAATAAGCAATGGTTTATGTCTGTTGTCCATTTGATTGTAATTTTTCACAATAGTTTTGTTATTATATGTATGCCTATTTATAATCATATAAAATCAAAATCCAAAATTCCAAATACATAATGTCAATCATTCCTGATAATAAATATTTAATCCAAAGTTAATGTTAGTTTGTACAATATATATAAGTACTAGGCTAATAATCAAAATTATTATTTTAAGTTATTTTTAAAAAAAATAATAATTTTTTAACTAACAATTAAAGTAAAAATAATGTTGGTCAGTGGAGGCGGAAAAAAAAAATCAAAACGTGATAAAAGAATATTTATAATAAAATATGAAATGATTGGAATAAATTGTATATCATCACTATTAATATTATATTCATAAATACTTTTAAATTTAATTAGATCAACTCTAAATATTTTATATTAATTTAAATACGATAATACACAATTGAAACTTTTAGATTATATTAACTAGATAGTTCATAAAAATGAAATTTTCTTTTAAAATATTAACTAGATAGTTTAAATTGGTCTTTTGAATTTTGATTGCACCCAAAATAGTCCTTTGCCTGTAGTGAAAATCTTAAATTACCAATTTTACCCCTCATTTTAACACTCACTTAACACCAAAACTAACGAATGACCATTTTGGCTTAAAATTCAATAGTCAGAGGACCACTTTGGGTGCAATTTAAAGTCAAGGAACCAATTTGAGAAAAGGTCATAGTTGGAGAACCATTTTGAGAATTAACTCTTTAGATATATTTGATAAACCTGGTTAAAAATGTAGCTAAAAGTTAAAAAGTTATATAAGTTGGAAGTTGAAAACTGAAAAATTGTTAAGCTAATTAATTATGCAAGTGTTTGGTAAAAGTTAGCTTTTTGATAAAATATGATAAATGTAAAAAAGACTAAAAAGAAATCTTCATAAAATTTAAATAGTTTTAAATTTAATTGTTAACATATTAAAAATTTAACATTTTGAAGGGAAAATGGCACTTTTTCCCCCTATGTTATATAGTTATAGCACTTTTTCCCCCTCAATTATTTAAGTGGCTCTTTTTCCCCCTGAAATGTTAAATGGACATATTTACCCTTAAAATAAATATTTCATTTATTTTTATTCTCCAATAAATTATTACTATAATTTGGTTCAAACCAGATACTATAGTAACCAAACCAAAATATTCCAATTACAATTTATAATCAAAACGCGATATTTAGAGTTTATTAAAATCGCGAACTAGAATGGCCGGTTCATGTTCCGAATTGAAAAAATAAAATATATTTATTGTTGAATTTAAACTATTTTAAAATAAAAAATAAAATTTTAAAATAAAGACGGTTCAAAATCGCGAACGAGATCCGGAATCGCCGGTTCATGATCCAGTTTTTTTATATTCTTAAATTTAATAAATTGAAATCCAAATATTGGGTTCTAGATCTGAATCATAACTGAAAACTTTTAATTCGATTGCTATAGTGTCTGGTTCAGTTCGAACTGAACCGTGGTAATCGCTACATATACGCAATAATTTGTTGGAGAAGTAAAATAAATAAAATGTTTACTTTAAGGGTAGAAATGTCAATTTAATATATTAGGGGGGAAAACCACCACTTTTAAAATAATTGAGTGGGCTAATGTGCTTACATAAATAATTGAGGGGGAAAAAGTGCTATAAGTATATAACATAGGGGGAAAAAGTGTCATTTTCCCCATTTTGAAATGAAACTATTAGCATAATCATGATCTAACATCACATAATGAAGTAGCAATATTGTTGCGAATCTCCTCCATCTTAATAGATGTCTCAATAAGGAGTTGTTAGGCGGTGAAGAATTGCTGGAGATGATGAATAAAAATATAGGAGAAAGAGAAAATGTCAAAAGGATTTTAATTGGGAGGGTAAAGAAAGTCATTTATTTAAAATTTAAAATAATAAGGATAAAGATGAAAAAAAAAAGTTAAAGAAACTACTAACTTATTTTTTAAACGCTACCTTAGATAGCATTTCAAAATAAGCTATTATTTTAAACTTCTAGTTTATTTTGATAACATTACCAAACAGAGCTTATAGCTTATTAATAGTTTAAAAAGTTATAAGCACATAAATAAGCTATGCCAAACAGATTCAATTTTAAACTTCATATGTTTGGTTCATGTAGAGTAATTTCCACTAGAACAATATTTTATTCAAATATGAGGAAAAAGTTTTCTTTGCTCAACATTGATATTTTGTTTTCCATAGACATTTGTGTGATTGTTCCGACCGACTAAGTGATTGGTCTACATGTTGAGAACTTGATGTTTCATCCTACAAATATCACAACAATTTGGTTGCCAAATATCAAGTTTCAGGGTTAAGCAAGATCATCGATATGTGTGCTCCTGGTCAGTCTGTTGTACAAAGTACCTAGTAGGTAATGCTGAGGAGATTACTTGTTCAATGCCAAATGGTAGAGACGAGATGACGACTGAACATAATTAATCAACCAAGCAAAACCATGTAGGTAGGGTTAGGAAAACTCAATCGAGCAAAACCCCAAACAGTAGGGCTGGAAATAACAAATGAACTGTAACACCCCACTTTTCTAACTCTTAATTACATCTCTTAACAGTCATTAACAGAAACTAAGCAGCGGAAAACTAGAAGATAAGCAGTGGGAGTGTCACCGCCACAACCACCACTCTTTGGTGATTGCACAAGCTAAAAGGGGTAAAGCTACAAATAAGATTAAGTCTGGGTACTAAAAATAAATACTGAAAAAGTAAGGGGGGAGAACGTCACCCCAACATAGTCTACATCAATCCTCCAACATAAAGTCATAAGTCTAAATCCATAACATGATCATAATTGAAACTAGAGTTTAGACATCTCAAACTAAGAGACTAATTTAACTCGATCTCTTCTCACTGTTGGGCCCACCTGAAAGGGGTTTTGCAAGCAACACACAAACAAACAAGAAAAACACCCGTTAGCACGAGGCTAAGTATAACCACACTCAACCCTGTAAAGCATTCTAGCATAACTTTGAAAACATTTGATATTTTTATAGCAATAAGCTAAACTCAAATCATCTTTAGATTATCATGTTCTTTCTAGATGCTTGCACCCTATAATATCAGCTGGCGTGCTTATATATGTATAAGACTGATCACGTATATTCATCAACATATAGACTTCTCAAATAGCTTAGCAAGCAATTCATGCTTACAGATATGATCATGTTAAAAGACCATATAACAGGTATTCACATGCTTCCACACTCTTATCACATAACTTATTAAGTAGAACTTCTACTACAACACTATAATCATGCTCAAAGGAATACCTTAAGTTAAGCTTCTCATTTAAACAATTCTCTTACGATGCTCCATTCGCATACAATCATGTATAACATTATGATCATGTTTCTTATGCAATCTAGTGCAACAATATAATTATACTCTTATGCAATCTAGTGCAACCATATAATCATACTCTTATACAATCTCGTGCAACAATATAATTATACTCTTATGCAATCTAGTGCAACAATATAATCATAATCTTATGCAATCTCGTGCAACAATATAATCATACTCTTATGCAATCTAGTGCAACAATATAATCATACTCTTATGCAATCTAGTGCAACAATATACTCATTTTCTTATGCAATCTCGTGCAACAATATAATCATACTTGTATGCAATCTAGTGCAACAATATACTCATATTCTTATGCAATCTCGTGCAACAATATACTCATACTCATATGCAATCTCGTGCAACAATATAATCTTACTCGTATGCAATCTAGTGCAACAATATACTCATGCTCTTATGCAATCTAGTGCAACAATATACTCATGTTCATATACAATCTAGTGCAACACTATACTCATGTTCATATGCAATCTAGTGCAACAATATACTCATGTTCAATTGTTCATATGCAATCTAGTGCAATAATATACTCATACACTCATATATAAATTAGAGTACTTCCTGTGGAGGTTTCTTTGTTACTTTCTCGAGTCTCTCTTGACTCTCTTTCTTTCTATCGAGTCTTTATTGACTCTCATACTTGAGTCTCTGTTGACTCTCTTTCTTGAGTCTCTGTTGACTCTCTTTCTTGAGTCTCTGTTGACTCTCTTTCTTTCTTTTATGCTCGTAGACGGCTTAGGGTTTCACAGAAGTGTGACTTACCCCATCGGGATCGGTATAATTTCCGACCCAATATCTCCTACCATCTACGGAACCAATCTCGTGGTTCAAACTCTTTGGAATCAGGTATCGAACTATTAGTGTGCACACCCCCTAACCAGGATTCCAAGCCCAGCGGGAAGTTTCCAACCTCGTAACGTGTGAATATGCCGCGTTACATATACTGGGACCACAATGTCCATAAATATCTCCCGAGAGGAACATAGTCCAAACGGTATCCTCCAAAACCTCACTAATGTAGATAATACATACATATATCTCTCATGCATCAATCTCATGCATGCAACAATTCTACTACTTCTCAATGCAT